GGCCTCATTCCGTACTGTGCCACTTTCTTTGTTTTCACGGACTACATGAGAGCTGCCATAAGGATCTCTGCCTTGTCAGAGGCTGGAGTTATCTATGTTATGACCCATGATTCAATTGGGCTTGGAGAAGATGGACCAACCCATCAACCAATAGAGCACTTGGCAAGTTTCCGGGCAATGCCCAACATTTTGATGCTCCGCCCAGCTGATGGGAATGAGACTGCTGGGGCATACAGGGTTGCAGTCCTTAACAGGAAGAGGCCATCTATCCTCGCCCTCTCTCGCCAAAAGCTGCCCAATCTTCCTGGGACTTCCATTGAGGGAGTCGAGAAGGGTGGTTACATTATATCAGACAACTCTTCAGGTAACAAGCCAGATGTCATTTTGATTTCAACTGGCTCCGAGTTGGAAATTGCTTTCAAAGCTGGTGAGGAACTCAGAAAGGAAGGGAAGGCTGTTAGAGTTGTCTCCTTTGTTTCTTGGGAACTCTTTGATGACCAATCAGATGCCTACAAGGAAAGTGTTTTGCCGGCTGCAGTAACAGCAAGAGTTAGCATTGAAGCTGGATCAACATTTGGGTGGCAAAAGCTTATTGGAAGCAAAGGAAAGGCTATTGGAATTGATCATTTTGGGGCAAGTGCACCAGCTGGAAAAATATACAAGGAGTTTGGCCTTACCGTCGAGGCAGTTATTGCAGCAGCAAAAGAAGTTAGCTAGGCAACTTGTTATTTAGCAAATTTGGTTTTGGTTGGAGATCAAGGTAAGAGGCCATATTCTTGTGATTTGTTTCACAGCATGGTCTCTTTTGTTTTAATAAAATATTATTTTTCGTTTGTTGCTTATAATTCTTCAGTGAAGCAACATAGATCAAAAGAGACGGTAGGGTATGAGAATGCTCTTCTTGTATTTTGTAACAACTCTTGGACCTGTCTTGAGTTTTGTAATGCTAATGCTCTGTGGTTAATCAATGAGTTTCACTTTCTCCATCATTTTCTTCACTTTGTAACTTAGAAACTATTTGGGATTGTCTATTTTGTAATAAGAAGGGCAGCCTTACACTCGGAATAAATATTGTAACTGTTATTTTTCAGGTAAATAAAGTTATATCCTTTCTCATAGCAGTCAAAGAATTTTTGCCAAATTTGGTGCCTTAGTTTTTGGCCTTCCCCGATACACCCCCCCCTAACTTTCCATTCCAGGAAAACCAAGTGAAATGGGTGACTAGAGAAAGGGTTTCTGTTCCCTCCATAAAAGTGGTTTTGTATGTATTCTAATTTCTAAAATGAATTGGATTTGGATAATGCACATTGATTTCAAGCCATTCAAAAGAGAGTAGGCAATCCATTTGTGTAAGAAAATTGGCATGCCATAGCCATGGGGTCCACACGTGGGTGATGAAGGGCAAATGCTGACCCTTAAGTTTGTGGTTCTTGAAGCTGCTGTCCTCACCCTCACCTATCCATTTTGTTGTCTTCTACCACCAAAAATTCATTGATATGATATAATGATATGCATGCAAGCATGGGTGTTAGCAAAAGGTGCATTTAACAGAGGTGGGTATTTCCTCCCCTCAAATATCTTTCTTTGGAATTGACAGTGAAGTTTT